ACACTAATTTTGAAGTTTTAAATTTTATAATTAGCGATGAAAATAAATTTTCAGGTCATCATAAAGATTTTCTATATTTGAAACAACATTTTTTGACAATATTTGAAGGTGCATTTTACTTTAATTATTTAGAACCTCGGCCCTGTACAAAACATGCCCAATAAGTAATGAAGTAGACATAAAATACTGGAGACCAAAGACATAGATACCCCTGTTGGTTTCCTTTATTCGAGTTTCGGACCAGGGCAATTTTGTCATTAAAAAATCGATTTAGAGATTGAGAACTCTCAATTGCAAGTGCATTTAGTAATTTAGCCCTATTTATACTTCAATACAGAGGACAAAAGACATAATACTCTGGCTTTGGAGCTCCACACTGGAGGGGTATTAGGTCATTGGTTTAAGCAATTATAGTAGAAAAATTACCAAAATGCCTTTCTTGGTTAAGAATTTCTAATGTAAAGTTGTGAGACCAATTGTGCTTTATGGCGCTAAATGTTGGGCACAAAAAAATATATACCAATAAAATGAGCGTAGCGGAGATGAAGATTTTGAGATGGATGAGTAGCAAGACAGGAAGGGGTAGAATCCGAAATGAATCCATTCGGGAACGTTTAGGTGTGGCACCAATAGACGATAAATTGAGAGGGATTGGACTTAGGTGTATTGGCCATATGTATGGTCAACCTAATACAACACCTGTTAGGAGATGCAAGTCAGTTCAGGTGGAAGGATTGAAAATGGTAAGGGGTAGGCCCAAAAGACGTGGTTGGAAGTAATCCAAAAATATATAGGGACTGATGGCTTCACTGAAGATATGACCTTGAATAAAGTAGAATGACATACCATATTTTGTGTACCCAACGCCAATTAATTGGAAAAAAAGCTATGACGATAATAATGATGATGATGATGATGATGATGATGATTTCCAATGCAAAGTGAATGCAAATTGGGTATTTCTAACTAAATAATGGAAGAGGGGTGGCAATTGGGTTGGATTGACCTGCCGACTTGGTGGGTGGAGCTGACCATGTCGGGGTCGGGGTCTATGTGTTGGACTTGGCTAGTCGGGTCTGGGTCCAAATGACTTGGACCCAGCTTGTGTCGGGTCTTGGTTTGGTCCGACTTGGACCCTATCGGGTCAAGTTGGGGATTCCGGTATAAAATTTATAAACCATTCAATATATGTAATAATTTTTTGATTTTTTAATTTCTAGACTCGAGTCCTAGTGACTTGCACCTAACCAAGATCCGGGTCTAGGTCCATGTGAAACCTAGTTGAGTTGGGTCCAATTCAAGGTCAACCAAGATAGGACCCAATCCACCCCAAGAGGACGTACCTAAATCAAATTATTATAAAAAAGTAACCATATTGTTTGCAATTTAGTTGGTTTAGTCACTCGGGGGCCATTTGGGTGTATGGAAATCTATTATGTGACAATAGATTACAAAGAAATATGATACTTCCAACTGTCTGGGTACACTTAATCGTAAGGAAATGGAAAGAGATTACCCGAGATTTTCCAAAAAATCAGGAAATTCATTACGTGCGGTGATAGGTGAAAAATCTATTACGAGCGTGACAGGTAATTTTGAGAAATATTTCGCGCGCGTTTTTGCCTACCTTATTTTGATTAAAAAAATCTTCTAAGACCTCTCTCTTCATAATAACTAGGTGATCCCTCCCTTTTTAAGCTCGTCCCCTTATCTGAAGGCATCAGCTGTTATATAAAAATAAAAATTAGTAATCAATGATAAATTACACAACACAATCATAATAAAAAAAATTCCAACAACATGATGTGATCCCTCCCTTTTTGAGCTCGTCCCCTCATCTGAAAGCATCAGTGTCATATAAACAAAAATAATAAAAATAAAAATCAGATAATCAATGATAAATTAAACAACACAATCATAATAAAAAATTTCACACAACATAATCCTCATAAGAGATTACTAAAATCTCAATTGAAATAACATCCCTCTTTAGTCTCATTCAATACCTCAAAATTTTATACTGCAATTACAAAACCTTCCAGTTTACTAATCAAACTTCTTCCCATTTTTTAACTCGTACCCTACAGATTTTGAATTTAGTATCATAAATTTATTGTTTATTTGAAATTATATAGAGAGACATTTGAAAGACTTCTATAAAAAATAAATAAAAATAAAGCTTATGATTATTAAATCATGTTATTCCAATCATATTGTTCCAATGACTTATCATGTTGAAACCAATGTCGTGTTAGAAAACATATGATTGCATATAAGTGCCAAAGGCACTTAAAATAAGTAGAAAGTAGTGTCATGACTGTAAAATGGTACAAGTTATTATTAGAAAATCTTTTTGGAACGGTGATAATATTATTATTAAAAATCTTTTTGGAATGGTGTGATGGTGATTTTAATTTACTATTTTAGTGGAATTTTGTGACAAAAAAGAAGGAAATGATAATTCTGCATTTTAGTGGAATTTTGTGACAAAAAGGAAAGAATTATAGTTTATAAGCAGGTGCTCGTAAAATGTTAGTAATGCATTTCCTATATTTCTTTCAGACATAGCCAAACAATAACAATATATTTCCAATGTTGCATCTAAATACTACCCAAACAGTAACAATTTATTTACGGGTAATGTATTACGCCAGTAATATATTTCCAGGTATCCAAACAGCCCCTTGATTGAATTTGTAAAATATCCCAACCCGTTGCCACTTTTTTAAGAGATACATAAGTGAATTTATCTATAAAAAGTAACCATATTGTTTGCAAAAAGGGTGATACCTAAGTGAAATCATCTTTAAAAGTAACTGTAGTTGTTTGCAATTTAATTGATTAACTAGTTTGAATTCGTAAAGGTATTTCCCCCACAATTTCATCAGATGGGAAAAGTTAATAAATAAAATGCTATTTTATTAGAGAAAAAATTAATAGAGAATATAGGGGCACATAATTATTGTTTAAAAATTTAACAATTCATATCATAATTGCCCGATCCAGATCATAAATCATCCTGGCCGTTTCGAATCTCATAATATATCGGGATTAAGTCGTATCCGCTTTTGAACCGGCTAGTCCAGACCGGTTTGACCGACTCATGCAGTCAAAAAAGCAATTTTTAATATATTTTTCTTTAGAAATAAGAATTGTGGCCCACCTCATACTTTTTTCTACGTAATGGTAGGCCCCAACTACTCTCAAAGGAGCACAAGAACATGTGATAAACAAGTCATGCTTTATGTGATGGAAGCGTGAGTAGGGGTGGCAACGGGTCAGGCATGGGCGAGTCTGGTTGGATTCAAATTCAAACCTGAATACACCGTATTCGGTTGGACCGAAATGTATTTGGGACCCGAACCCAACCCACCCCATACTCGTACACATCAGGTCCTGAGACTAGTTGAGTCCATTGTCACCCTCACCGTGAGCTTCCTTTTTTTTTGCCTTTTTTTTTACCATCTTATAGGCAACAAAGTCACAACCCGCCATTGGATTTCAAGCCATCCTATTTGTCTTTTAATAGTTAAAGATGATTATGAATTCTTATTGTATACAATCCTTAATACACCTAAATGAGTAGAGCTTGAAGTATTTTATCTCTAATAGTTTACGGATAAGGGTCGAGCACAACTAAACTCAGACCCAAATACTGTTCAGGTTTTGGACCCGAACCTGATCCGCTGGATCCAAATATTGGACCCATACCCGGACCCGTTCAGGTATACCCATTGCCACCCTTAAGTGTGAGGTGCCTTCAATGTGTGATGATAGTCTCCCCTCACCGCAAGCCCTACTTTTAGGGCATAAACCATTGGGGGCTTATCAGTAACTTCCTAACAAATAATAGTCCCACCTCTCTCTCCCCCCCTTCTCAACTTTAGTATATCTCCTCATTTAGCTTTCTTTTTACGAAGTTTGTTCCATTAATAACTTCGCTAAAATTAATTTGATTAAAATTTAAATTCTCTCTCTATTAAGTATAACTTCTTCCATTAAATTTACTCCATATAGTTTTTTTTTAAAATCAAAACTCTTAAACTAATATAATAATAAAATAAATAAGGGAAAATTGTTGAAAAACCCTCCTAAAACGTCCTCTCTAAACACTCTGCCCCCACCCCAAACTTTCATCACTTCTTTTTTATAAAAAAAGATCTTTTATAACTAAAACCCCCCAAGCTAAAAAACATAGAAATTAGGACAAAATTACCCATCTATTTCAATTTACCTTTTTTCTTCTTTTTTTTAACGCCGACCCTACCTTTACCCTGTCTTGGTCCGGCGTTTTAGATATAGGAGTAGGGTTCTCCGGCGTGTGTTAGTAATCTACGGTCTGACGTATCACTGTCTAAATAAGCAGTCCGATATTTCAGTAATTCAATCCGGCATAGGTCATGAGTCCGACAAATAAGTACCACGGTTCGGCGAAATTATTATTGGGGTCGTTCGTATGGTGAAGGTCTGCGAAGGGGTATTTTCGTTAAAAAAATTACAACTTTTTGAGTTAGGGGGGTTTTAGTTATAAAAGATGGTTTTTAGAAAAAGAAGTGAGGAAAGTTTGGGGTGGGGGTAGAGTGTGTAGAGAGTGTGTTTTAGGGGGTTTTCAACAATTTTACCAATAAATAAATTGAATAGAGATATTCATTTTATTATCATAGTTCATTTTAAATTTTATTTGAATTATAAAATAAAATTAATAAACAACAACTCTCAATATGAAACAAGTTTTTAGTATTTACATATTTTCGACACAGTAATAAAAATTATAATACAATTGTCACTATTTTTTCTTAGAAACGAATAAAAACTAGATTTTTAAAAAATTATACTATTTTTTTTTCATAAGCTTTTAAGCTGAAACCCAACAATTATCCTATCTGGACCGGGATTTTTGAATGGCTGATCCGGGTCACAAGTGATAAAGTGAGAGCCGGAATTTTCATTAAAAAAAAAAATGGCAGAGACCAGGAACCGACAGAAAATCGAGGAACAATGAGCGGGAGAGTGAAAGGGGCAGAGAGAGAAAGAGGGCACTTGTGCGATGATTCCTTAAGATGAAACTGCATTTCGGACACCCGGGGGCGAACTCTTCCGCAGTCCCATTCTCTCGCCCCCCTTCCAACCTTAAAACCATTTTCAGAACCACTTTAATTAATCTATATATATCTAAACAAAATACTCTCTTATATCTAAGAAAACATTTTCTGGCCCACTTTGATTAATCTCTCCAGTCTCCAGAAATCCTTCATTTCATTGATCTCTGCAAATGCATTCTCTCTCTCTAAAAGCTTCAGTGGTTCATCTCTAAGAAGATTACTATTCCCCAAATTCTGATCAACCCATTACCAGATCTCAACCACTGTACCCCCAAATTCACCTTGCCGTAAACCCATCTTTTTATCTTTCCACCTTTTTTTCTCTCTCTCCTCCAATCATTGATTTTGGAGGTCCCCCTGCCCATTAACTGTTGCAGTAACAGAGATGAAACGTAGGATTTAATGCTATATAGTTAGCCAACCTTGCATTAGACCCTGATCATCCAAGCTGGAGCAACTCAAAGTAATTGGAAGGGAGCTCGCCATGGGCTCCCAAGGTGGATGGGGTCAATCGAAGGAGTTCTTAGACCTCATCAAATCCATCGGTGAGGCCAGATCCAAAGCCGAAGAAGATCGAATAGTTTTACAGGAGATCGAGACCCTGAAGAAGCGAATCACTGAACCAGATGTGCCCAAAAGGAAGATGAAAGAGTACATAATTCGACTGGTTTATGTCGAGATGTTAGGGCACGATGCCTCTTTTGGGTATATCCATGCAGTGAAGATGACTCACGATGATGCTCTCCTTCTTAAGAGGACTGGTTATTTGGCTGTCACCCTCTTTCTCAACGAGGACCATGATCTTATTATACTCATTGTGAATACGATACAAAAGGATTTGAAATCTGATAATTATCTTGTGGTTTGTGCTGCTTTAAATGCGGTGTGCAAGTTGATCAATGAGGAGACAATACCTGCAGTATTGCCCCAGGTTGTTGAGTTGTTAGGGCACCAGAAGGAGTCAGTGAGGAAGAAAGCGATCATGGCGCTTCATAGGTTTTATCAGAAGGCTCCTTCTTTGATTACTCATCTTGTCTCTAATTTTAGGAAGGTATGTGTTTTTTTTTTTTGTGTGTGTGTAATTCAGTGGGGAATACCGGCCCCTACGCATTTTTGAAATGGTTAGTGGTTTCTGAAGGTGAGTTAGAAGGTATGTTGGATTATTCTGCTCTATCTGTTTACTTTTTATTGTCTAAGAATTAGCTTGCTAGTTTGATGTGTATTGTCAAAACTGATGCACAGTCACCATTGATATGCAGGCTTTTGTTGAGATTCTCCATTTTGTTACACATTTTAAAAATTGATTTCTGGGGTTTGCTTTTTTGATTTTGTTGTTGCATTTTTAGTCCTCTTTGAAGGACTTCTATATTGAAGTAGTTGTTTTTGATCAGTTCTCTGAGTATTAAGGGTATCTTTATTTTTATTTATTTTTATCATGAACACTACTTTTTCTATTTTAGTATGGTTCATGAATACTTTTATTGACGGGTTGTTTACCTCAGCGAATAAGTGCTTAAACTATGATCTTAATCTCAAGTTGCTGTATAATGAGTGATTAAATGGTTTTCACTTCTCAGTTTGCAATTTGTATAACAGAATGCTCTGACCATTAACCTAGACAAGTTATTCATGTTCATAGTGTGTCTCATTTCGTGGCATGATTCAGAAATACCCAACCACGATGGAATGTGGAATTATGATTTAGGAAGAATATGAATAGGAATGATCTTTCTTACTTTGGTTGCCACTGATTTTAATGGTCAGCTTGCGGCTGATCTTGTCTTTGAATCCATAGGAGTTATGAGAAGTTGTACATTTGAATGGGGGATTTAAGGCTGCAATCAGATTCATCATTTTATGTAATTTTTAGATCTTTATTTGCCCCGCATTTTGCCAAAAACAATTTATGCTGAATGACTGTGTGTCAGTTGTATATCACATAGTAAGAATAAAGCATATAATACATCATAGCTCCTTATGTGATCCGAGTGTAAGGGTTTCCAAGAATATAACTGGGGATGGTGTCTTCATTTGCACATGATTGTAGCTAAAAAAGAATTGGATTTAAGACCTCAACTTGCAATTAGGATTGACCTTAAAATGGTCTCTTATCACATGCAGTGGTGATTCTCATGCTATCTAATGAGTCACATGTAATGTAGGTTTGGGCCCAAGATGAAAAGGGTATCGACGATGCATTTCTGTAGTTTCCTAGTCAATCTTAGTCTTGTGGCGCCAAGGTTATGTGCTTGATTAAAGGGTTCATGGCAAGCCCAAGGAATATGATGAGTACTCAATACTCACTTCACTTGTGTATAAGACATTTATTTTGGTATGTTTTGAGCCTAGGTTTTAAAAATTGGATTGGTGATCCGGATTGCCCCTCCAAATTTCCGATCCCAATGAGTGAATTGGGATCCCAGAACTGGTCATTAAAAAATTAAATAAATTGAAAAAAATTAAAAAAGGGGCCGTTTCAGGCCGATTCTCTAACAGAACCAGTCGGAACCGGCCCGTTCATGGGGGGAACCGACCGGTTCTTGATATTTCACAAGTTCTGGATCGGCTTGATCGATTTCAGATTCGTATCGGCTTGATCTGATCTGGATCAAGGATTCTTAAAACCTTGTTTTGAGCTTGCTTCATGGCAGAAAGTAAAGTCTTCCTGAAGCTCTAATTTGCTTATCAAGATTTTAGTTGGCTTCCTTAGGTGCTAGAGGTTAAGGTGAAGAGTCTCCTATGGAACTACCTGGGTCCTGACTAATGTTTAATGAGATCCAACAAGAGACTCTAGGATCCAGGGACTTCTAGATTTACGAAAGGGCTAATAATCCTTCCCCAAGGCAATGCTCAACAATATCTTGATGTATATGGCCCATGTTCTTATCCCAATAGTAGGTAAGTTGGATGGAGGTGGTATTGGTCTTGCTGTCAATGTTACTCTCTAGGGGAAGCGGTGGCATTTTCTATTGATGAGGCTGATCTTGGTTCGAGCTTGTTAATGGATGAAAGTGTTCACAAAAGCGGACCGCCCAGTGCTTAGGCGGTCTAGAAGGCCTGGGCACGTCGCCTAGGCCTAGGCGGCCAAATTGAGCGGCAGTCCCTGGGCAGCAGCCTAGGCGGTACAGAACCCGCCTAAGGCGGAAATTTTTTTTTTTTCGTTGTATTGATTTTTTTATGAAATATAAAGGGTTTGCAGGATAGGTTTTAGGTTCATTTCAAACCTAAACCCACAAGAACCCATTTTAGAGAGAAAGAAACCTCAAGAAAACTAAATTTTGTGACTTTCATTGGATCAAAGTGTTTCTCAAAGTTACGGAAAACATATCCAAATATCACCCAGGTAGATTTGATTTAGTTTTGGAGTTTTATAGGGTTTTTTTATTATTTTAGCACCAAAAAACATCTCAGAGGTTGGAGTTTGGAGTTCGAACAATCAAAATAAATGCAAAAATTTATTTTAGATTACTTGTTTTATTTTGAAATGTATTCTTTAGGATCTAGTCGAAGTGGAGATCCGGGTTGGAAATTTGGATTACAAAAATTGTATTAGATTCAATTTTTGTGAAAAAGAAACAAAAGGGGGCGTAAACCGGTTTAAGAAACATCTTGGCGGTATAAAGGGGGATGTTGCCCCTTGTAAAAATGTTTCTGAAGCTATCCGAGAGGAGATTAAACAATATATGAGTTCTGTAAAACAAAAACATAATCAAAATCCTTGTCATTTGAATAGGTCTATTTCTGTTACTTATAGAAGAAGTGATCCGGGTTGGAAGTATGGTCATAACCCAAAACCAAATGATAAAAATTGCATAAGGTGTAATTTTTGTGAAAAAGATACCAATGGGGGTATTAACCGATTCAAAAAACATCTTGACGTTATTAAAGGGAATGTTGCTTCTTGTAAAAAGGTTTCTGAAGCTATTCTGGGATTAGATTAAACAACTTTTGAATTTAAAAGAACCAGAAAATGATGAAAATGAGCCTTGTTCTGTGGAAATATCTTCTTCAGGTTCTTTTAGAAGTGATGATCCGGGTTGAAAGTATGGTTATAACCCGAATCTGAATGACAAAAATCGTATTAAATGTAATTATTGTGAAAAAATGTAATTATTTTGGAAAGGATACAAATGGGGGCATTTATCGGTTTAAAAAACACCTTGCCAGTATTAAGGAGGATGTTACCTTGTGTAAAAATGTTCTTGAGACTACTAGGGAGGAAATTATACAATATTTGAGTTCAGGGAAGCACAAAAAGATAGAAAAGTATAGAGCAACTAAGACTCCTAGGGCCTCATTTGCACATACTAGTAAGAGGGAGGTAGCAGAAAAAGAGGAGGAAGAGGCAGATTCAAAAGAAACAGAGGACTAGCACTATACTGAAGAGGGAGATGACTCTGACATTGATGGCCTCGATTCTGATGCATATGATGAAGCTTACCCTATTCCTTCTGATGATGATGATGATGATGACTGAAGAGTGAAGACTCTTGGTGTTGATTGTTGACTGTTGAGTGTTGACTATTGTATCCTAAACTGTATATTTTCTGAATTTCTGTATTTTTTATCTTTCTTGTTTTTAGTTTCTTGTTCTACGTTATAGTTTCTAGTTCTACTATCTAACTTTTGTGTGTACAGTCTACAGTATATCAGACTATCAATGTATGCTTGTATGGTTTTAATGTTTTTGCATTGTATGAAAATATGGATTATGGTCTTACGAATTATCAAAATTCTCTTCTCGACTTCTATCTTTTTTTTTTAAACTGGGATTATGGCCATACCCTCAGCCACACCATGAGTCCCTCTATCAAAGGCCAGAACCTGGGCCTCCCATGTTCTGGGAGCCCGCCTAGGCTCTGGGAGGCCTGGACCCCCATGGTGGCCTGCCTAGCGCTCTTTGAAACACTGATGGAAGTATTGTGAGCAGATGGATGGGGGATGTGGGACTTAGTAGAGCCTAGAGCATCATGGATTTAGAGAGCATTGTGTCAGTAGGCGTTGTTTGAAAGGGCGTTAGGCTTAGAGTTGGTTAGGGAGCTACATTCATATATAGCTTGCACATTTGGTTCGGGATGGGGCTTTTCAAGCATTGGGTTAGTTTAGAAGGGCATTGGGTTAGTTTAGGCGTTGTTTATGAGGCTTAGAAATCATGAGGGGAGCTACATTAATATTGTTCTAGACATTTGATTTGGGATGGGGCCTTCTAGGATCCTGTCTCACCTCTTGGCCTGTTTTAGATTCAAAGATTTGAGTTGGGGATGTCTTTTTGAATTTTTGAGTGCAAGAATGGTAGGAGAAGATTGTTTATTCTAATTTTTTCATGACCTAAGGGAGACCAAGAAGCTTGTATTCTCATCTTTATTGGAGAATCTTGGGGCTGTAATATGTGTGTCAACAGGGAGTATGCTGTGCGATGAAGGAGCGATGACAATGCGTGCGCTTTCTTGATGAAGTTCATTGTGATATAGAGGAGTTCTGTTCAGTGCTTCTAAGAGTTGGTAGGGTATATTAAGTAGGGATAAGGTTGGCAAGGACTAGGATGGATTAATGCTTTTTTTGTTGAGTAGTGAATGTTAGGAGGCCTAATGGGGACAGGACTTAGGCTAGCTCTACGGGAGAGGATTTGGTGGGGTTAGGCTAATTTTTTGGTTTGAGTTAAAGGGTTCAAAGGAGGTTACTTTGTTGGAATTCAATAGTTCAACACAGTGTTCTAAAAAAGGTCTCCCTGGGGCCTAGGCACCCAATAGACGTCACACCTAGGCCAAGGGGCCCCATTCTAGGTAGGTGGGCCCCTAGGGCCATGGGCCTTTTTATAATATTTAAAGATGCCCAAAAGGGCAAAGGGGGTAATTTCGAGTCTTTGACCCCCTAAAAAAATTTAAAGGACTATAGGGGTTACTTTCAACCCCCCAAAATTAAAAGAAGACTTCCATAAGCCCTAAATCTCTTAGCTATACTTATTTTTGAGAGAGTAAAAGTATTTTTTGTTCTTTGAAGAAGCATCCTAAACTTTTATTTTCTCATTGGAATTATTTTTAAGGTACTATTGGAAGTTGGAGAGTTGTAGTCCAAGTTATTATGGAACATGCAGAGTTGGAGACTATTACTAATACATGAACTAGACTTTTGACTTTTTTTAAATTTTTTGTGTTTTGAATTTTAAAATTTTGAACAGGTATGTACTAACATGCGATATGTTTATTATTGAAAAAAGTATATTGCAATATATACACATGCAAGAAATTACAAAATTGACACAAATTACGTGCATATATGTGCGTTTGGACAACTCATATATTTATATATCTAACGAATTTGTACTACAGGGCACCTGAGGTTCTGGGCATCTGCGTGGGCACTGGGCGCTAGGCTAGCCACCTAGAACTTTTGAAACCTTGGTTTAGCAAGATATATGGATGAAAAATGGGCATCTATGGTTGATTTTATGGTACAAAATGCTAGGATGATTATATGGGTAGGGTCTCTTGGGTTTTGTCTTTCTTAGGGTTTAAAAGAGCTTCTGAAATGCTGGATGGGGGATATAAACACGTATATAATATAACATATAAGGGATATCAGATAACTCAAATTGTCTAGTTGGTTAGGCCTTGTGGTTACAACCACAAGAGATTTGAACTTATCTCATCCTCCCTTTTCTTTTTAACATTCAAAAGTAAAAAATATGATATATATATATATATATATCTATATATATATATATTTTTTTTACTTTCTGTTTTCCCCCTTTTTTAGGAAGCATTTAGGAGGGTTCAAACCTCCGACCTTGTGGATAAGACCATGTGGTCTAGCCAACATAGCTATTTGGCTTTTAAGATGTAACTTACATATATTATAGCTATGTAGGTCAAATAAAAAAATAATACAAAGATTTATATTATATAATGTATAAATGATACCCTATAACTATGATAATCTGGTTGATTAGGCCTTGGGGTTACAACCACAATGTCAGAGGTTCAAACTTTCCCATCCTCCATTTTCTTTTTGAACTTTTTTTTTTTAAATAAAAAATAAAATAAATAAAAATAATATATATATATATATATATNTATATTATATATATAATATAGTAGTGGAGGACC